GGAACCAGAGTAGTCGAGATATGTGATTAGGCAAAATGTTAAGATCACCTGAACAGCCTCTGGAAAAGTCCCTGTAAATCTAAGAGGAGCCTGGCATGTATCATGCTGCACCGTGTTCTAGAATAACCTGCTTAGGTGACCTAGTGCAGTACAAGGGTTTCCAAGCTGGACTCTGCTCAGTCCAAGGAATTATGTGGAGCATCTTGTGGACTGCTTCTGGGGAGAGGAGAGGATCCTGGTGATAAGGTTTCTCAGCACCCCTCCTCTGCTTCAACTAAACAGCTCTGCTTTTCTCTAGTTTTACTTTCTTACATTCCTCCAATCAGCAGTAGATAGAGATAGAGATAAAATTGTAACAGAGGTAGAAATAGAGATATGGGTGTGGGTGTGTGTGTGAGAGAGAGAAACCACTAGTCATGAAAAGAATACTAACTTTGGAATCAGTTTGCTTGGGTTTGATCCCAGCACTATACTATTAGGTGACTTGGGCATGGTCTTTAGCTACTCTGAGCTTTAGTTTCCTCACCTGACATATGGCAGGTACTCAAAGATTTTTGTTGAGCAAATAAGTGAATGAATAAATAAGTAATTTTGTATTCTGGCAAAAAGTAACCTTGCAGGGTTACTTTGAGGTTTAATGCTGTTATAAGGAGAGTTTAGTAAGCTTGGTACATAGGATGTATTTTGCAAATAATAATAATAATAGCATTTATTATTGCTGTTGTTGTAATTATTATTGATTCAGTGCTTGTTTGGATTGAGGTACCAGGTGCCCATGTGGCACTTCTGTCTAAGCTAGTTGGAGATTCCACATCAAACTTGAGAGCAAATATTATATGTTGCTGAATATATGGAATGTGCCTGAGTTCAGAGGGGCTTTCCCATCACAAGAGGAGATTATGGGAGTCCCAGAGGCTTCTTGGTCCTCCACTCTTGCAAGTGTTACCTGAGGAGTTTGGTGGCAAAAACAGTGGCAACAAGTTGTCTGGAAGAAGTCTTGTCATTTTGCCAGATGTGCCAAAATCATATAGCAACTCAGTGGGATCAATTCTTGTAGACCAAGAGGTGTGCATATTTGCTGCCACTGGTATTCTTGGGGTTTGAATCATACTACCCAATGATATCCACGTCTATCTGCTTAGCACATTCATTCTCTGGGTAAGAACAAATTATAAACCTACAGAGTATTCTTCCTGAAGGAGAAAGGAAAAAAAGTGTACTGGGCTTTTGACCTGAAAATTGATGTCTTTAATCTACCTAAATCATTTCCAGTTAAATACAATTGTCTTGTGGATCACATTCATCTGCTGGAGATTGTAAATTCTCCAAGACATCACCTTGCTTTTTCATAGGTTGTGTAAAATGGTGCAAACACTTTTAGCACTTGTGCTATAACAGATGATTATAATTTATAACAAAAGAATAAGAACAATGACAGTCTAATCACATGCCCTAGAAGCTTGGTGTGCGAAAGGAATCCCATTATATACATATTGTAATCTCATTATAACATATTGTGAAGGTGTGTATGTTTCTCACTGGGAGAACCTGACAACTAATTTTTTCAAGTTTGGAAAACAGAGCAGTGAGAGTTAATTCTAATTATGAAAAACTTCTTTGCTTTAATGACAGCTTTTCTAAAGAGTCTCTTTAAATAGCCCGCACTCTTTTTGGAGTATTCAAAATTGAACTTGCTTTGCAAAATGTAGATTAGACTCAACTTTTCAGGAACAAAGAAAGTGTGCAAAAATGGGGTATTGCATGTCAAGCGTTAATAGTGAAGTCTCATGTAGTGATCACAGTGAAAACAAGGCTCATCCTTCTAGCCCTTGAGCCCATCAAATTCAGAATGTCCAAATGTGGCAGGTGTCTTTTACAGGGCATTAGGTGTCCTCATTCCAGGCAAGAAAGCTAAACCAGCATTGGGGTCATTGGCTGTCATTAATTGTGTGACTCTGGCAGCCAAAGGCATCAATCCGTGCTCTCAAGAAACCATGTATTATTCAGCATGTACTGCTAGTAAACTATACTATTACTGCTTAAGCTATACTATTAGCTTAAGTAGAGATACTTTTTTTAATTGAAACAATTATGAAGAAAAGGTTGATGACTTTTGTTCAAACAAATGAAAGAATTTGGGGGACAAATGATGTATTTCTTTCTCTGTATATAAGTCATGGGCAAGGAGAGGAAAAGGAGAAGTTGGAGTAGGACTAGATAGCAACACAGGCTCAGAAGAAGGGACCCCCAGATTACAGATAACCATTACCTTGCGAGTCAAACTGTCTTTCTTCCAAAACCCTCTGCTTGCAAATGCAAGCAGATAGGTGAGCATCAGTCATTGTTTTTCTCTCTCAATTCTGAGGCATAGCAGGAAAAAGCAGCCACGTATACTGCAGCACTTAATTTAGCAAGTGAGTACTACACAGGCACTGTGTTGGACTCAAAGATGGGAAGAAAACAAAACAATAAGGGAAGAAGGAAATGTACATTTAATACATTGAGACTGCTGTTTTCTACAGTAGAAATATGAGAATACTTTATTTTGAAGTTGGCTACTGTAATCAAATGCACTTTTCATATTCTTCCAAGGGTTCTAAACCAATAGGTGATTAGTCTCTGCCCAGATTTAGGCAGGCTGATGAAACTCTTTCAGGAAGTCCTATCCATTGTGCAGAAAGGCTATTGTTAATACTACAGAAAAGCACCAAACACTTTAGCAAGTATTAGGGCCATGAGGGGGTACTTTGTAAGAGGCACAATGCCCGGAATTTTCATAGAGTTTCATTTCTGCACTCCTCTGAGTGATTTTTGTCTTCCTGCCTTATAAGTCTTTTGTGAGCTCTGTGTGCTCATTAGTGGCTAGATTGTCAAAATAGGAGTATTTAATACACAGAGTGGGTCTTGGGCCTGGAGATGAGTGTGTGAGGGAAGAGAGGAGGATCCTGAGTCAGGTGGAGTGAAAGGTAATTTGGAGACTCATCTTACTGGAGAGGAGAACGGTTCATTTAGATTGTTTGATGTTAAATACATGTTCAGATTTGTATTTCAGGTTCTGCCACATTTGTGTTCAGAAATGCCCCTCTCATGCACTGTTTCTGTTCAGAGCCAGGCCAGCGTAAACAGGATTGGAGAAGGGGAAGATCCCCCTCAGCAGAGGGAGAAAATCTATTGTGTGCCCTGAGGAGAGATGGATCTCTAGAGTGTAAAAATGTGTGCTTGGGACCACGTGGGAAAGGGTGGAGGGTGAGGAATCGGGCAGTCAGAGAACTGAAGCTTCAGCCCTTCCTAAGCAGAGGAGTGTGGAAGGTGGGTTGCTCACAGGGTAGAGATGGGGGTTATTGCTCAGCCCCTGAGCAGGGGAACAACAGGGAACCGGGAACGTGTGTGGCAGAGGCTGGCTCTGCCAGGACGAGGTGCTGGGGGTATGAGGGTAGGGTGGGGGCCTGAGGGGTGGCTCGGAGCCCTGGCGGTGGCTGCCTGACGTCACCGGCCTCTCTGGCAATAGGCTGCGAGCTGAGCTCCCCGAAGCGGCGGCGGCGGCGACAGCACGGCTTGGTCTCTGGCCCCTTCACTCCGCGCCTTCTGCAGCCGTTCACTGCAGCCGCGCGGCGGGGCTCCCTCCTTGCAGCCAGCTGGCGGCCCCAGGTAAGGGACACGGTGCGGCTAAAGCTCCAGGCGGCCGGGTGGCCGGGCGCGAGCGGGTAGGACAGCCCCGGCGGCCTGCGCAGGCACCCCTGGCCGTAGCTTCGGCCCCCGCCCCTGCCCCGGCCCGGGCTTGCACGCCGCCTCACTGCTCCGCAGTGCAACAGTTTGCAGCTGCCTCCTGAGAGCGGCAAGGGGCTCGGCTGCGCGCTACGGGTCTCCCTGGCTCTGCTCCCCGGAGAGAGCCTCAGGGCCCTCGGGCTGGGACTGGGAAGGCCCGAGAGAAGGTCTGTTCCCCAAACTTTGCAGGCGGGAACCCTGCCCCTTTCATTTCCAGCACCCTTAGAAAGAAGCAGGATACTGTCAAGTGGGGGGCACAGAGAGATGTGGAGAAGGGGGCGTTTGCAAGGATGTGCTTTAGCTGAGAAAGAAAGGTGCTTCAGC